CTCTCTCTCTTCTCTCTCTCTCTCTCTCTGTCTGTCTGCCTGTCTGTCTGTCTGTCTGTCTGTCTGTCTGTCTGCCCCTCCTCCTCTCTTCATCTCTGTCCTCGTCTGACACATGGAGTTGAGGCCAGGACATGTCTTTTAGGAGAGGAGGGTAACTCTCTTACATAACAGCAGTCTGCATGAATGAATCCATGGGGGTGGGGCAGCCATGTGTTTTCAAGTGCATGTGTGTGTGAGACTGTTTAGGAGGAGTCAGGTGGAAGTGTGTAGTGAAGTTTCTACTTGAAACAATTTATTTCTAACTGGTACATCAATCTTCACCCCCTAACCTTAACTGACCCCGCCAGCGGGTTGGTCAGTACAGAGTCATACTGTGCAGCTAAACATTGTTCAAATCGACAGAAATTTATTTTAAACTCTAGTGGGCATCCTGACTTTCCAAAATTACCAAATATGCCGGGTAGAATTTTTGGAAAAATGTGCATAAAAAAAATATTTCCATGTGATGCAATCATGCAGCCATAAAAAAGTATTGGGTCTGAATATTTCACTCAGTGTTTCCCCTGCTTCCCAGTCTTTGTACTAAGTTATCCAGCTGTAGCCTTACTTCTTTTACTGGGGTGGCCCAAGTGGGGCACTAACTTACTGTATGCAGGGGGGGAACCATTGACAGTATATGTTGTGGACAGAGCTTCCAGGTCTGTGAAGTGAAACCAATGTTAAACACACATTCTATGTATAATGGCCAGCAGGGGGCAGCTCCATTGGCTGAAAAAAAGGAAAAACAAAAGAGTATTAGTATTGAGTCTTATGGAGAAATTAGTTCAGTAAACAGTTTCCTAATGAGTTTCTGGTCTCAATCTCTAGTTTCAGTCTTCTTCCATACAGCATGATAACTGATGGTCCCATTTAGAGTAAAATAGACCATAAAGTAGGGTGTGCTTTAGTGTACTGTTTATCTGGAATTTGAGATTGTGTGTGACTAGTTGAGCTGCCATTGTTTCCTGCTATGAACAATTTAAAAACTGCGCAGTCAATGAGCGAAGCTCAACTTGCAGTACGTCACCTCCGCTGGCTCCAACAAACTGTCATGGCGACAACCATAACGCCAAACTTGAGGACCAGAATAAAATACCAAAATTCTCAAGTGAGACAACCCTTTCATTAAATTATCAGTCTACATGAATTATAGTAGATCGATAATCTTTTTACTCCTTGAATCAGTGAAAATATTATATACCTGTCACCTGTGCGTAATGGTTCATGAATCTTGTAAACACTACGAGGACACTGTGCTTCATTGATCCTCACTCAGAATATATGGCCACGTGACAACTCTCCAGTCCCGAATTTCATCTGGCCTCCCTAATACAAAATAAAAGCAATTCAAAAAATATAAAATAAATAAGCTTGTGTTGAAAAAATATCATACAGTCATTGATTAACTTCAATCAGTCCGGTTTACTTACAACAGAATTCTGCAGTGTGGCTTTAAAGAGAAACAAATTAGGAAACTGGAGGTTGAGTGGTTAAAGCAACAACAACAAAAAACATAATTATTTAGCATTTTCAGTAGATAATGGGTTTTTCTTCCAACATCCATCTGACCTCAGAAAATATTGATCTCCAGTGATATATCCATTTCTACTCTGAACATGATGATAAAACCTATTATGCAATCAAATCAGATGTACTTCAGCATTCAGCAACATGTGCTTATGAATCAGACGCAAGCGTGTGCTTTTCTTAGAATTTGCTAGAATAATAAGCCATGTCAGTGAATATAAGCATCATCATCAAAATACACCAATCTATTTTTAGAGCCTTGCTGGGAGCACTTTTCCTTTAGTTGAGGGGAAAAATCTGTAATGGATGTCCCGGTTTGTCAATCTGTGTCTGTGTAAGAGGGTCTCTCTCTCTCTCTC